ACATTTCTCCAGAAAGTACGATCTTTATCCCCATTTGCAGTTGCAAACCGTAGTCTGGCTTTTTTATGGAGTTTTTGGAGCAGTGGCTTCTTCCTTGCTGAGCGGCCTTTCAGGTTATGTCGATATAGGACTCGTTTTACTGTGGATATAGATACTTTTGTACCTGTTTCCTCCAGCATCTCCACAGGGTCCTTTGCTGTTGTTCTGGGATTGATTTGCACTTTTCGCACCAAAGTACGTTCATCTCTAGGAGACAGAACGCGTCTCCTTCCTGAGCGGTATGACGGCTGCGTGGTCCCATGGTGTTTATACTTGCGTACTATTGTTTGCACAGATGAACGTGGTACCTTCAGGCATTTGAAAATTGCTCCCAAGGACGAACCAGACTTGTGGAGGTCTACACTTTTCTTTCTGAGGTCTTGGCTGATTTCTTTTGATTTTCCCATGATGTCAAGCAAAGAGGCACTGAGTTTGAAGGTAGGCCTTGAAATACATCCACAGGTACACCTCCAATTGACTCAAATGATGTCAATTAGCCTATCAGAAGCTTCTAAAGCCATGACATCATTTTCTGGAATTTTCCAAGCTGTTTAAAGGCACAGTCAACTTAGTGTATGTAAACTTCTGACCCACTGGAATTGTGATACAGTGAATTATAAGTGAAATAATCTGTCTGTAAACAATTGTTGGAAAAATGACTTGTGTCATGCACAAAGTAGATGTCCTAACCGACTTGCCAAAACCATAGTTTAACAAGAAATTTGTGGAGTGGTTGAAAAACAAGTTTTAATGACTCCAATCTAAGTGTATGTACATTTCCGACTTCAACTGTACATGTTGAAATTACCTCGACTAACCTGTACTCCCGCCAAGCGTCACGTCTGGAGGAAACCTGGCACCCATCCCTCCGGTGAAGCATGGTGGTGGCAGCATCATGCTGTGGGGATATTTTTCAGCGGCAGGGACTGGGAGAATAGTCAGGATCGAGGGAAAGATGAACGGAGCAAAGTACAGAGAGCTCCTTGATGAAAACCTGCTCCAGAGTGCTCAGACTGGGGCGAAGGTTCACCTTCCAACAGGACAATTACCCTAAGCACACAGCCAACACAATGCAGGAATGGCTTCAGGACAAGTCTCTGAATGTCCTTGAGTGGCCCAGCCAGAGCCCGCACTTTAACCCGATCGAACATCTCTGGAGAGACCTGAAAATAGCTGTGCAGCAACGCTCCCCATCCAACCTGACAGAGCTTGAGAGGATCTGCAGAGAAGAATGGGAGAAACTCCCCAAATACAGGCGTGCCAAGCTGGTAGCGTCATACCCAAGAAGACTTGAGGCTGTAATCGCTGCCAAAGGTGCTTCAACAAAGTACTGAGTAAAGGGTCTGAATACTTACGTAAATGTGACATTTCAGTTTTTTATTTGTAATACATTTGCAAACATTTCTAAAAACCTGTTTTTGCATTGTCATTATGGGGTATTGTGTGTCGATTGATGAGAAAAACAAAATTTAATCAATTTTAGAATAAGGCTGTAATGTAACAAAATGTGGAAGTCTAGAGGTCTGAATACTTTCCGAATGCACTGTACTTCTTGAACTGTGTATCTGAGAATGGTTGGAATTGAATATTTATTAGGATCCCCAGTTAGCTGCTGCCGAGGCAGCTTTCTGTGGTCCAAACAGGAAACAACATAACAAATACAATACATAAATATACATAGCACTACATTTACATTACAATTTAGCCATTCAGCAGACGCTCCCATCCAGAACCACCCACAGCTACTGCATTCATCTTAAGATAGCCAGACGAGACAACCACATATCACATTCGTATCCCAACCCCGTATCACATACATAATACAATACATAATAAAATGCAAAATACAATACAAAATGCATAAAAATGTCTGTGTGACTCTTCATAGTCCCCGACGTGCCGTAAGGTGTTCTTATCTGTTTTTATTGCTATCTTGAGTTACCTGGGGTGTCAGAGAGTTCCATTTAGTCATGGCTCTAATACTCTGTGTTTCCCAGCCTCTGTTCTGGACCTGGGGACTGTGAAGAGATCTCTGGTTGCATGTCTGTGTGATACTGGTGAGTATCTTAACTGTGTGCCAGCTGCTTGAACAGACAGTTCGGTAGCTTCAACAACTCGCACATCTCTCCTCAACTTTGAACCAGGAGAGATTGACATTCGCCCTCCATGTGTAATACATGCTGCTTTGTTTTGGACCAACTGCAATTTGCCTATGTCCTTCTTTGCCACACCTGACCACACAACTAGTAGTCCAGGTGCGACAAAACTAGGCCCTGTAGGACCTGTCTGGTTGACTGAGCTATCAAGAAAGCAGAGCAACGCCTTATCATGGACAGACCTCTTCCCATTTTAGTAATCGTTGAATCTATATGTTCTGACCATGATAGCTTGCTATCTAGGGTGATAACCAGCAGTTGAGTCTCTTCAACTTCCTCAACAGCCACATTATTCAATAATAGATCCAGATGAGGTTTAGGGTTGAGTGTGATTTGTCCCAAAAATTATGCTAGTTACCCATTCTAAAACGGACTGGAGCTCTATGTTAAAGGTGTCAGTTAATTATTTTACTGTTGCAGCCGACGTGTATACGGTTGAATCGTCAGCGTACATGGACACATGTACGCTTTAAATCTAGCAGCCTTTTGGAAGGTAGTCAAATCTCTGAAACAAAACTCCACGTCTTCATTACCTCAGCAGGTTATGACAGTCTCTGGTCTCATAACAGATACAATGGACATTTGTGGTGCTTTTAATAACCACTTTACCTCAACAGGCCACGTATTTAATAAAATAGCTTCTGAAAACGCTGATCCCAGTAAAGGGAGTCCTTTACTCACCTCAAGCCAGGTTGCAGAGAATGGTACATTCCAGATACACATTCCTCATTTCAACCATTAGATGTCTATGATGTACTAAGTGCCTTATTGAAGATTGATGTAAAAAAAAAATCCACTGGGGCTGACTCACTTGATCCCTTTTTTGCCCCACTCATTGCAGAATCATTGACCAATATTTTTAACTTGACAATTAATTCTGGGGTTATCCCTAAGATCTGGAAAGAGTCTCAATACTTATGTAAATAAGGTATTTCTGTTTTTTATTTTAAATACATTAATAACAAAATGTGGAAAAAGGGAAGTGGTCCGAATACTTTCCGAATGCACTGTTTCCACAGCCATCGGAGGCTAGGAGGTTCCGCCTAGCTAACTTTGAATTAGCTGGTCTGACTCTACGTCAATTTGTGGCGTAAGGATAAGTCGCAGCCCCATATGCAGCACAGCGTTGGAAAGCTAAGAACCTTCTGCAACTAGTCCCATCTATGACAAACAAATGGTATTATATCTAATTTAATAAAAATAAAAACGTTAACATAATTTGTAGATGTGAAACAAAACCAGTGTTCCTCACAGACGGACAACATTTAGGAGAAGAAAGCTGAGACGGTAAAGAATTTGTTTAGTTGCTAGCCGCCTGTGTGGTTCAGGAGACGAAGAAGACAAGAACAAATGTAATCAGTGCCCCTGAAAATGAAGGCTACCTTTCCCTACCAACTAGTTAGATGATTAATTATTACAGTAATAAGGGAGCTGAAATCTTATAGGATGTCGTTTGTTCGTAGCATATTAACTCATATTTACTAAATCTTGGTGTGAAAAGTGAATACAAATAAATAATAAAGAAAGCTGAAGATCTGAGCTTTCTAGCAGTATACAGCATTACTAGGTACTTTTCATGGCCCTCATAATAATTGATTTATTCTGGCATAGCACTACAGGTGCGAACATTAGTCCACAATGTTTACAGTTGACTTTGAGCATTATAAAATGTCACCTCATATCCCAAAGAAGAAACAAGCAAGTTAGCAGGATGAATGCTTTATATTTTCTTAGTGCAGTAAACAGTTATGTTTATATACTTTTTTCCCAACACTTGAACAAAAAAATAGCACAAGACAATTTTTTACATGCATCTTCTCAAGTAACAGCTACTGAAATTGAAATAAATACACAATCACACAAGTATTCTCAGTACCAAAACATTGAGGTTACCAAAACAATAAATACAACAAACATCTGTGGACATTATACAATGTTTTGTTTTTAGAAAGAGGTTATTTGCAATTCACTTTTCCATTTTATAAATTAAATGCTCTTGCCGTGATCACGCATGAGAATACATCAGTACCTTTCAATAGGAAAGGAGTTACACTGCCTCCCATTGAATTGAAATGAAACAAACATACCATCACATGGTAAGCCATAGATACTCAGAGCCCTCACCTTCAGATTCTCTATACTGAAGGAGAAGAAACTGACATTAAATACATCTGACAGACATCTTTAAATCTCGTTTAGCTTTTCACAGGCTCTAGATCTTAATTTCGGCTGTACTCTATAGTTCTCTCGTACCATTATTCTTAAACATAAAAAGGCAGCGTATTTACTCTGCTTAATCCCAAATTTAGTGTGAGAAGAAGAGGAACAGAACAGCAGTTGCTGTGGCTGCATTGTATTCACCTTGCGTTAAGCCTAACTCACACTCACAGGTGCACGTGTCTTCTTGCTATGGAGGCCATTCAACTTTTCCTCGGCTAGACAAAGTCAAAGTTGAGTAGTTTGAGCCGGCGTTACCGCTGCTGGTGCTACTTTCCAGTCCCCAGGCTGAGTCGGAACTCCCTAGGGAAAAGTCTGGAACTGGAACACGGAGGGGAAGAGGGGGGAGGTTGGGCGAGATCGTGCCATCTGATGAATACAGAATAAAGAAGACTAATACAGTACGAACTACAGGCTTTTCAAAAACACACTTCACTTAAACATCTTAAAAAGGGGAATAAAAATGACATTGTCTCCCCTTCTGAACCCCCATTCTTCCAGACAAAAGAAATGGCAAGCTTTGACAGGGACGGTCCATGTTGACAGTCAGTTGAGTCATACCGTAAACGTCCCTTTAGGTTAGAGCTATTAGCAGAGCAACAGTAACTCGTCATCACTATTGGTCTCAGTCTTGCCTGTGGCCTCAAGACAGGTGTCTGGGATCTGTGCAGTGTGAACCATGCTACAGTGTTCACAGGGCCCGTCCCGGCCCAGGGACATCCGGCCTGACCTGAGAGAGGCTGGGAACAATAGGTGGCGGGCAGCCTGATCCAGGCCTACCTCCAGGTTGAGGAGCCTAGAGGTCTCGCTGGTGGAGTCAGTGTCCGAGGCGGCATCCGACACGGGGATGAGCAGCTCTACGTCATCTTCATCCTCCCTGGTCCCTGCTCCCTGCTCTAGGTGCCTCAGTGGGCTGTGGTTGTGGGTCACCCCACCTGAGGAGTCTCCAGAGCGGCCCAGGGAGAAACGTACCCAGCGCAGGGTGCGGGTGACCCGGCTCAGAGCACTGCTCAGCTGGCTCCTCCCGGCCAAAGCACACTGAGGGTCTGCTGCCTCTCCCCCTGGGGTGTCCATGGTGTGAGTCTCCACCACTCCTGGGCTGGCCCTGTGCCTGGCCCGGTGGCTGTCCCTGCTGCTGGTGCACGTAGACACTGAGACGATGGCCTCCACTGCGGTTGCTGGAGGGGTCTTTGTGGGGAGGGGGGCTACAAGGCCCCCCACGGCTCCGGGGATGTCCAGGCGCTCGCTCTCCGTATCAGTGTCGTCTGAATCGAGGGGCAGCAGTCCCCGGTGGGGTCCAGTCCTTTCGGGCTCGCGGGCCAGGCTGCCGCCGTTACCGCTGCCAGTGTTCTGATCCTCGGTGTCAGCAGACACCAGGGCCAGCGAGCCGGAGCGCCGTGAGCGTGTGAAGTTGAAGAGGCGTCGCAAGATGTTGCTGTGGCGACCGGAGGTGGGCAAGCGGATGGAGGTGAAACCCAGCTGGGAGCGAACCGCCAACCTCAGGTTCTCCAACACAGACGCCTGGACCACACACACAGGGAGAACAGCAAGACTGTTAGTATCAATCAATCAATCAATCAATCAAATAATAAATCCCTTTTCAACAGTTGTGACAATGTCCTTTACAGTAACCCAGCGTATTACAGACGACAATAAACATCAAACTCCTCTAGGGCTGACCCCAACTAAAGAAAATCTTGGTTGACTGTTCTGTCGACCAATTTATTGGTTTAAATTTTAAAACGTGTATTTTTCCATATATACACACAGCCTATGTGTTTGAATAAAATGAACTATATGCACTGAGCTTGTCTGATGCTTTAAGCACACTGTTTGCTTAAATAACTAAGACACAAATTGATTCAAGAGGGCCACACTGTGTAAAAAAAAAAAGACAGCGAATGCCTGTGTCACTGTCGCATGTTTTCTCACTCTCCTCCCTGCTGCAGCGAAAAGGCACCACAGCACAGCAAATGTTTATCGCGCTGTTCGTGCTGATGCTGCAACATCATTTCAGCCATTTAGTTTCTTACTTGTTTCTCTGACTGAAAAGTTATTATACCAAAATCCCTCATTTATTTAGGAAAAACATTCTCTATTCCCTCAACCCTTGCTCTCTTTACGTGAAACATGTATGCATCGAATGCACGTTACCAATAGGGCCTGACCTATAATCACATCAATAAATTGGTTATAACAAACTCCGAACATCGTAACACATGTGACAGCAAAGTGGATGTGGAGGACGTGAATGTTTACTGGTTGCTCAGGAGGGAAAGGGGAAGTCAGATCTGTGGAAGACATTTTACTTATTTGGGGAAACTACTGGAGACCAAGAAAAAGGAGGGTATAGGAGGAAGCGGTGCAGTCCCGAACTGCTTTAATCAACTCTTCATTTTCCCATAAAATCTTACTTTTCTTTCCTTTTTGTCTATATACTGTAATGTGAATGTGTACAAGTATTCAGACCCCTTGACTTTTTCCACATTTTGTTATGTTACAGCCTTATTCTAAAATTGATTAAATAGTTTTTTCCACCTCAATATATACACAATACCCCATAATGACAAAACAAAAAACATTATGAAAATTGTGCAAATATATTAAAAATAAAAACGGAAATATCACATTTACATAAGTATTCAGACCCTTTACTCAGTACTTTGTTGAAGTACCTTTAGCAGCGATTACATCCTCAAGTCTTTTTGGGTATGAGGCTACAAGCTTGGCACACCTGTATTTGGGGAGTTGCTCCCATTGTTCTCTGCTGATCCTCTTAAGCTCTGTCAGGTTGGACAGGGAGCATTGCTGCACAGTTATTTTCAGGTCTCTCCAGAGATGTTTGATCAGGTTAAAGTCCGGGCTCTGGCTGGGCCACTCAAGGACATTCAGAGACTTGTCCCGAAGCCACTCCTGCGTTGTCTTGGCTGTGTGCTTAGGGTCATTGTCCTGTTGGAAGGTGAACCTTCGCCCCAGTCTGAGGTCCTGAGCGCTCTGGAGCAGGTTTTCATCAAGGCTCTGTCTGTACTTTGATCCTGACTGGGGCGAAGGTCATCGTTCCCTCGATCCTGACTAGTCTCCCAGTCCCTGCCGCTGAAAAACATCCCCACAGCATGATGCTGCCACCACCATGGTTCACTGTATGGATGGGTGCCAGGTTTCCTCCAGACGTGACGCTTGGCATTCAGGCCAAAGAGTTCAATCTTGGTTTCATCAGACCAGAGAATCTTGTTTCTCATGGTCTGAGTAATTTAGGTGTCTTTTGGCAAACTCCAAGCGGGCTGTCATGTGCCTTTTACTGAGGAGTGGCTTCCGTCTGGCCACTCTACCATAAAGGCTTGATTTGTGGAGTGCTGCAGAGATGGTTGTCCTTCTGGAAGGTTCTCCCATCTCCACAGAGGAACTCTGGAGCTCTGTCAGAGTGACCATCAGGTTCTTGGTCACCTCCCTGACAAAAGCCCTTCTCCCCCGATTGCTCAGTTTGGCCGGGTGGCCAGCTCTAGGAAGAGTTTTGGTGGTTCCAAACTTCTTCCATTTAAGAATGATGGAGGCCACTGTGTTCAATGCTGCAGAAACGTTTTGGTACCCTTCATCAGATCTCTGCCTCGACACAATCCTGTCTCGGAGCTCTACGGACAATTCCTTTGACCTCATGGCTTGGTTTTTGCTCTGATATGCACTGTCAACTGTGGAACCTTATATAGACAGGTGTGTGTCCAATCAATTGCATTTACCACAGGTGGACTCCAAGCAAGTTGTAGAAACATCTCAAGGATGATCAATGGAAATTGGATGCACTTGAGCTGAATTTCGAGTCTCATAGCAAAGAGTCTGAATTCTTATGTAAATAAGGTATCTTTTTTTATTTATTTTTTATAAATGTGCATACATTTCTAAAAACCTGTTTTCGCTTTGTCATTATGGGGTATTGTGTGGTAGATTAATGAGGGAAATAATGTATTTATTCCATTTTAGAATAAGGCTGTAACGCAACTAAAATGTGGAAAAAGGGAAGGGTTCTGAATACTTTCCGAATGCACTGTATAAACCTTACTATATAGTGTAAACGGCCTAATGGTCCCCATAAAGCAGTTCATGTTCAAATAAACAATCACAGTCACTGAGTAACTCATTCACCGTGCTTCAGAAGTAAGTTCAAAAGAACTTCCTCACAGTGAATCACAGTTCAACTTCTTCAACATCTCTTGTTACCTGAGGTCAGTTTGTTAGACATTACACAGTTGATCCTTGGTGTCAACAATCCTATGACAAAGATAGGCATTAATGGCCGGACTTGAAATGTGCACTCTTAACACACAGACTTAAGCGTAAGTCATGCATGGACAAGAGGATCACATCTTCTGAGGAGAAGAAGAGAGGGCAGTGTGATCTAGATGTAGACTTGCCTGGTTGCCAGAGCAGACAGGGAAGTCCTCCACCGGGGGTATAAGGCCCTGGGCGATCAGCTGGCCATACGACGGGGGAGCCTCCCTCCTCAGGAGCTCAGCCTCAACCCTGGACAGCTGGGTCTCAAATGACCTGGGGAAACATAACCGGTTAGAGGGACTCAAAGGACTGGAGTAAACACACACACACACACACACACACACACACCAGATCAGTTAGAGGGACACAAGAAATGGCATTTCAAAGTTCATTCAGTGTCCTTTTTGATGAAGATCAAAGACAGAAATTAGAGCGCTAACTAGCTATATGAATCCAAAGAAAGCATTTATAAAAGCCTAAAGACTAGTCTGGATTACCAATCATCTCTCGAAGTAAGTGTGAGACATACTAAAGCTGTCGTAGCAAACCAAACAGACAGAAACAAAGTGTTATGACTTCTGTGGGCACCGTATAATTGTTTAACAACAAGAGTAATAGCACAGGGTCTAAGTTTATTACCTGCGCTCAAACATCCGGAGGGAGTAGAGTTTGCAGGTGCAGCCCAGGGCGATGACCAGCAGCAGGCCACAAATGAGACTTCCTATAACCGCCGCCGTGATGACCCGTGTGGGCACGATGACCGGGCAACTCTCCTCGTCGCTCCCGTCGCCGCAGTCGTCCTGCGCGTCGCACACCCAGCTCTCGAACACACAGCGGTTGTTCTTGCAGTGGAAGTTGCCCGGCTGGCAGAAGAAGCAGTTCTTCTCGTCTGAGCCGTTGGGGCAGCGGTTCTGGTAGTTGCAGCGGTCCGAGCGCGGGTAACAGGCGCCGTTCCTGGAGCAGGGGAACTCATCCACCTGGCAGGTGCTGCAGTTGACCTCGTCGCGGCCATTGGGGCAGTGCCAGTAACCGTCGCAGCGCTGCTGCTCCGTGTAGCAGCCCCAGTTGCCCCCACACGGGATCTCCCAAGGCAGACAGAAACCGTCCACCTGGCAGGAGAGATGAGGAAGATTTCATTAAATTAGTCAAATCGAGGGCGTCCGTAACGATTCCAAAATCAAGAAATCGAAAAAGCTTAGTGATATTTTCAAGGGAGTTTAAAAGGGACATTTCACTCAAATATGACTGGGTTTGTTTTGATCTTGTCCGACGCAGTTCTAGGTCAAAGGCGGCAGGTCTGGGTTTTGTGCGCCAAACGATACACCTGATGACAACAATACGGTGTATTGATGGGGTGGACAAGATCAGAAAATGAAAGTCGTCCTGCTTTATGGCATTTAGTCCTCTGTTATACCGATCGCACTAAAAATATTTGTGTGCGTGTAGATATGGTTGTCCTTGTTCGATAGAGCCATTACATTTACATTTTAGTCATTTAGAAGACGCTCTTATCCAGAGCGACTTACAGTTAGTGAGTGCATACATATTTTTATTTTTTTTTCATTCTGGCCCCCCGTGGGAATCGAACCCACAACCCTGGCGTTGCAAACGCCATGCTCGACCAACTGAGCTACATCCCTGCCGGCCATTCCCTCCCCTACCCTGGACGACGCTGGGCCAATTGTGCGCCGCCCCATGGGTCTTTGGATGTCTTTCAGCAATGTTCCTAACGGCGGATTCATTGCTACATACACTGAGCACGAAAAGCTTTCCATGACATATACTAACCAGGTGAAAGCTATGATCCCTTATTGATGTTACCTGTTAAATCCACTTCAAATCAGTGTAGATGAAGGGGAGGAGACCGGTTAAAGAAGGATTTTAAAGCCTTGAGACAATTGAGACATGGATTGTGTATATGTGCCATTCAGAGGGTGAATGGGCAAGACAATAGATTTAAATTCCTTTGAAAGGGGTATGGTAGTAGGTGCCAGGCGCACCGGTTTGAGTATGTCAAGAAATGCAACGTTGCTGGGTTTTTCACACTCAACAGTTTCCTGTGTGTATCAATAATCCTCCACCACTCAAAAGACATCCAGCCAACTTGAAAACTGTGGGAAGCGTTGGAGTCAACATCCCTGTGGAATGCTTTTGACACCTTGTAGAGTCCATGCCCTGACAAATCGAGGCTGTTCTGAGGGCAAAAGGGGGTGCAAAGGTGTTCCTAATGTTTTGTACACTCAGTGTATACATACAAATAAATTTTTTCCAGCCTCTGAAATAAACAGCTCAGTGTGGGGTGGTGCTTCCTGCTCTGGCCCCGTCGTGCATTCGCTATGACTGCCAGATCTTGTGGTACCCTATGAGCAGTTGAATAGACAGAAAGTCGAAACTTCCTGATTCCATCTGTGAAATGAAAATGCGCTCGTTCTAGCTTGTGGTGAGGAGATTATGTTTATGACAAAACGTAACGTTGATAATATTGTTATGACTATATACAGTTGAAGTTGGAAGTTTACATACACTTAGGTTGGAGTCATTAAAACTTCTTTTTCAACCACTCCACAAATGTATTGTTAACAAACTATAGTTTTGGCAAGTTGCTTAGGACATCTACTTTGTGCATGACACAAGTACTTTTTTCAACAATTGTTTACAGACAGATTATTTCACTTATAATAATAATAATAATAATAATAATACAGTGGGGAAAAAAGTATTTAGTCAGCCACCAATTGTGCAAGTTCTCCCACTTGATGAGAGAGGCCTGTAATTTTCATCATAGGTACACGTCAACTATGACAGACAAATTGAGGAAAATCACATTGTAGGATTTTTTATGAATTTATTTGCAAATTATGGTGGAAAATAAGTATTTGGTCACCTACAAACAAGCAAGATTTCTGGCTCTCACAGACCTGTAACTTCTTCTTTAAGAGGCTCCTCTGTCCTCCACTCGTTACCTGTATTAATGGCACCTGTTTGAACTTGTTATCAGTATAAAAGACACCTGTCCACAACCTCAAACAGTCACACTCCAAACTCCACTATGGCCAAGACCAAAGAGCTGTCAAAGGACACCAGAAACAAAATTGTAGACCTGCACAAGGCTGAGAAGACTGAATCTGCAATAGTTAAGCAGCTTGGTTTGAAGAAATCAACTGTGGGAGCAACTATTAGAAAATGGAAGACATACAAGACCACTGATAATCTCCCTCGATCTGGGGCTTCACGCAAGATCTCACCCCGTGGGGTCAAAGTGATCACAAGAAGGTGAGCAAAAATCCCAGAACTACACGGGGGGACCTAGTGAATGACCTGCAGAGAGCTGGGACCAAAGTAACAAAGCCTACCATCAGTAACACACTACGCCGCCAGGGACTCAAATCCTGCAGTGCCAGATGTGTCCCCTTGCTTAAGCCAGTACATGTCCAGGCCCGTCTGAAGTTTGCTAGAGTGCATTTGGATGATACAGAAGAGGATTGGGAGAATGTCATATGGTCAGATGAAACCAAAATAGAACTTTTTGGTAAAAACTCAACTCGTCGTGTTTGGAGGACAAAGAATGCTGAGTTGCATCCAAAGAACACCATACCTACTGTGAAGCATGGGGGTGGAAACATCATGCTTTGGGGCTGTTTTTATGCAAAGGGACCAGGACGACTGATCCGTGTAAAGGAAAGAATGAATGGGGCCATGTATCGTGAGATTTTGAGTGAAAACCTCCTTCCATCAGCAAGGGCATTGAAGATGAAACGTGGCTGGGTCTTTCAGCATGACAATGATCCCAAACACACCGCCCGGGCAACGAAGGAGTGGCTTCGTAAGAAGCATTTCAAGGTCCTGGAGTGGCCTAGCCAGTCTCCAGATCTCAACCCCATAGAAAATCTTTGGAGGGAGTTTAAAGTCTGTGTTGCCCAGCGACAGCCCCAAAACATCACTGCTCTAGAGAAGATCTCCATGGAGGAATGGGCCAAAATACCAGCAACAGTGTGTGAAAACCTTGTGAAGACTTACAGAAAACGTTTGACCTGTGTCATTGCGTTCTCATTTTGTCTGTCATAGTTGACGTGTACCTATGATGAAAATTACAGGCCTCTCTCATCTTTTTAAGTGGGAGAACTTGCACAATTGGTGGCTGACTAAATACTTTTTTCCCCCACTGTAAGCCATTTAGCAGACGCTTTTATCCAAAGCGACTTACAGTCATGTGCGCATACATTTTTACGTATGGGTGGTCCGGGGATCGAACCCACTACCCTGGCGTTACAAGCGCCATGCTCTACCAATTGAGCTACAGAGGACCACCCAATTCACTGTATCACAATTCCAGTGGGTCAGAAGTTGACTGTGAATTTAAACAGCTTGGAAAATTCCAGAAAATGATGTCATGGCTTTAGAAGCTTCTGATAGGCTAATTGACATCATTTGAGTCAATTGGCGGTGTATCTGTGGATGTATTTCAAGGCCTACCTTCAAACTCAGTGCCTCTTTGCTTGACATCATGGGAAATCAAAAGAAATCAGCCAAGACCTTAGAAAGAAAATTGTAGACCTCCACAAGTCTGGTTCATCCTTGGGAGCAATTTCCAAACGCCTGAAGGTACCACGTTCATCTGTACAAACAATAGTACGCAAGTATAAACACCATGGGACCACGCAGCCATCATACCGCTCAGGAAGGAGACGCATTCTGTCTCCTAGAGATAAACGTACTTTGGTGCGAAAAGTGCAAATCAATCCCAGAACAGCAAAGGACCTTGTGAAGATGCTGGAGGAAACAGGTACAAAAGTATCTATATCCACAGTAAAACGAGTCCTATATCAACATAACCTGAACGGCTGCTCAGCAAGGAAGAAGCCACTGCTCCAAAACCGCCATAAAAAAGCCAGACTACGGTTTGCACATGGGGACAAAGATCGTACTTTTTGGAGAAATGTCCTCTGGTCTGATGAAACAAAAATAGAACTGTTTTGCCATAATGACCATTGTTATGTTTGGAGGAAAAAGGGGGATGCTTGCAAGCCGAAGAACACCATCCCAACCGTGAAGCACGGGGGTGGCAGCATTATGCTGTGGGGGTGCTTTGCTGCAGGAGGGACTGTTGCACTTCACGAAATAGATGGCATCATGAGGAAGGAAAATTATGTGGATATATTGAAGCAACATTTCAAGACATCAGTCAGGAAGTTAAAGCTTGGTCGCAAATGGGTCTTCCAAATGGACAATGACCCCAAGCATCCTTCCAAAGTTGTGGCAAAATGGCTTAAGGACAACAAAGTCAAGGTATTGGAGTGGCCATCACAAAGCCCTGACCTCAATCCTATAGAAAATATGTGGGCAGAACTGAAAAAACGTGTACGAGCAAGGAGGCCTACAAACCTGACTCAGTTACACCAGCTCTGTCAGGAGGAATGGGCCAAAATCAATCAAACTTATTGTGGGAAGCTTGTGGAAGGCTACCCGAAACGTTTGACCCAAGTTAAACAATTTAAAGGCAATGCTAACAAATACTAATTGAGTGTATGTAAACTTCTGACCCACTGGGAATGTGATGAAATAAATAAATGCTGAAATAAATCATTCTCTCTACTATTATTCTGACATTTCACATTCTTAAAATAAAGTGGTGATCCTAACTGACCAAAGACTGGGAATTTTCACTAGGATTAAATGTCAAGAATTGTGAAAAACTGAGTTTAGAAGTATTTGGCTAAGGTGTATGTAAACTTCCGACTTCAACTGTACACTTAGGACACCTTCCTAATATGGAGTTGCACCCCCTTTTGCCCTCAGAAAAGACACAATTCATCAGAGCATGGACTCTACAAGGTGTCGAAAGCGTTCCACAGGGATGCTGGCCCATGTTGACTCCAAAGCTTCCCACAGTTGTGTCAAGCAACGCTGCACCTTAGATGTGGAACAATGTACAAAAAACTATTAGAATGGATGTTCTGGTAACTCTAGGGCAATTCAAAAAATTGATTTCTAATATTTTAAATGTTAATTGTGATAGTTTTTCTTAATGTGTATATACATTTACATTTTACATTTTAGTCATTTAGCAGACGCTCTTATCCAGAGCGACTTACAGGAGCAATTAGGGTTAAGTGCCTTGCTCAAGGGCACATTTACGTCATTTAGCAGACGCTCTTATCCAGAGCGACTTACAAATTGGTGCATTCACCCTATAGCCAGTGGGATAACCACTTTCCAAAATATTATTATTATTATTTTTATTTATTTTTTGGGGGGGGGGTCTTGTGTACGTGTACATATGTCTTGTGTATGTGTACATATGTGCTTTTTTCTTTGTATTGAAAACAGGGCTCTACTGCAAATGAGACCTTGGTCTCAGTTGATACCCTGTATAAATACAAGTATTTAAAAAAATACATATATATCTACAGTACCAGTCAAACGTTTGGACACACCTACTCATTCAAGGGTTTTTCTTTATTTTTACTGTTTTCTACATTGTAGAATAATAGAAGACATCAAAACTATGAAATAACACATATGGAATCATCTAGTAACCAAAAAAGTATCTTCAAAGTAGCCACCCTTTGCCTTGATGGCAGCTTTGCACACTCTTGGCATTCTCTCAACCAGCTTCATGAGGTAGTCACCTGGAATGCAGGTGTGCCTTGTTGAAAGTTAACTTGTGGAATTTATTTCTTTCTTAATGCATTTGAGCCAATCAGTTGTGTTGTGACAAGGTAGGGGGGGTATACAGAAGATAGCCCTATTTGGTAAAAGACCAATTCCATATTATGGCAAGAACAGTTCAAATAAGCAAAGAGAAATGACAGTCCATCATTACTTTAAGAGATGAAGGTCAGTCAATATGGAACATTTCAAGAGCTTTGAAAGTTTCTTCAAGTGCAGTCGGAAAAACCATCAAGCGCTATGATGAAACTGGCTCTCATGACGACCGTCACAGGAACGGAAGACCCAGAGTTACCTCTGCTGCAGAGGATAAGTTAATTAGAGTTACCAACCTCAGAAATTGCAGCCCAGTTCAAGTAACAGACACATCAACATCAACTGTTCAAAGGAAACTGCGTGAATCAGGCCTTCATGGTCGAATTACTGCAAAGAAACCATTACTAAAGAACACCAATAAGAAGAAGAGACTTGCTTGGGCCAAGAAACACGAGCAATGGACATTAGACCGGTGGAAATCTGTCATTTGGTCTGATGAGTCCAAATTTGAGATTTTTGGTTCCAACCGCCGTGTCTTTGTGAGATGCAAAGTAGGTGAACGGATGATCTCCGCATGTGTAGTCCCCAACGTGAAGCATGGAGGAGAAGGTGTGATGGTGTGGGGGTGCTTTGCTGGTGACACAGTCAGTGATTTATTTAGAATTCAAGGCACACTTAACCAGCATGGCTACCACAGCATTCTGCAGTGATACGCCATCCCATCTGGTTTGCGCTTAGTAGGAATATAATTTGTTTTTCAACAGGACAATGACCCAACACACCTCCAGGCTGTGTTAGGGCTATTTTACCAAGAACAAGTGCTCAGAATGTGGGAACGCCTTCAAGACTGTTGGAAAAGCATTCCAGGTGAAGCTGGTTGAGAGAATGCCAAGCGTGTGCAAAGCTGTCATCAAGGCAAAGGGTGGCTTTGGGTGGTGGACAATTCTTCATACACACGGGAAACTGTTGAGCGTGAAAAACCCAGCAGCGTTGCATTTCTTGACACACTCAAACCGGTGCGCCTGGCACCTACTACCATACCCCATTCAAAGGCACTTCAATCTTTTGTCTTACCCATTTACTCTCTGAATGGCACCTACTACTACGGCTGTGGCGGTCATGACATTTTGTCAGACGGTGATCGTAAAGCAAATGTGTATTCGTATTTTATTATGGATCACCATTAGCTGCTGCTAAGGCAGTAGCTACTCTCTTCCTGGGGTCTGGCAAAATGAAGGCAGTTTTAAAAACATTACAAGACATTCATTACAGATTTCACATCGCACTAAGTGTATGCTCTCAGGCCCCTACTCCACTACCCCATATCTACAACACAAAATCCATGTGTGTGTGTATAGTGCGTTAGTTATCGTTTGTGTATGCATGTGTGTGTGCTTCACAGTCCCCGCCGTTCCATAAGCATTATTTTGATCTGTTTTTTAAATGTTATTCTACTGCTTGCATCAGTTGCCTGATGTGAAATAGAGTTCCATGTAGTTATGGGTGTATGTAGTACTGTGCGCCTCCCATAGTCTGTTCTGAACCTGGGGACGGAAGAGACCTCTGGTGGCATGTCTTGTGGTGTATGCATGGGTGTCTGAGCTGTGTGCTAGTTGTTTAAACAGACAGCTCAGTGCTTTCAACATGTCAATACCTCTCACAAATACAAGTAGTGATGAAGTCAATCTCTCCTCCACTTTGAGCAAGGAGAGATTGACATGCATATTATTAATGTTTGCTCTCTGTGTACATCAAAGGGCCAGCCGTGCTGCCCTGTTCTGAGCTAATTGCAATTTTCCTAAGTCCCTCTTTGTGGAACCTGACCACACGACTGAACAGTAGTCCAGGTGCGACAAAACTAGGGCCTGTAGGACCTGCCTTGTTGATAGTGCTGTTAAGAAGGTAGAGCAGTGCTTTATTATGGGCATACTTTTCCCCATCTTAGCTACTGTTGTATCAATATGTTTTGACCATGACAGTTTACAATCCAGGGTTACTGCAAGCAGTTTAGTCACCTCAACTTGCTCAATTTCCACATTATTTATTACAAGATTTAGCTGAGGTTTAGGGTTTAGTGAATGATTTTTCCCAAATACAATGCTTTTAATTTTTGAAATATTTAGGACTAACTTATTCCTTGCCACTATTCTGAAACTAACTCAGCTCTTTGTTAAGTGTTGCTGTCATTTCAGTCGCTGTAGTAGCTGACGTGTATAGTGTTGAGTCAGCCAGTGGCGTGTCATTAGTAAAGATTTTAAAAACGAAGGGGCCTAGACAGCTGCCCTGGGGAATTCCTGATTCTACCTGGATTATGTTTGAGAGGCTTCCATTAAAGAACACCCTCTGTGTTCTGTTAGACAGGTAACTCTTTATCCACAATATAGCAGGGGGTGTAAAGCCATAACACATACGTTTTTCCAGCAGCAGACTATGATCAATAATGTCAAAAACCGCACTGAAGTCTAACAAAACAGACCCTACAATCTTTTTATCATAAATTTCTCTCAGCCAATCATCAGTCATTTGTGTAAGTGCTGTGCTTCTTGAATGCCCTTCCCTATAAGCGTGCTGAAAGTATTTTGTCAATTTGTTTACTGCCTTGTCTGGTCAAACACAATTTCTTCCAAAAATGTACTAAGGGTTGGTAACAGGCTGATTGGTCGGCTATTTGAGCCAGTAAATAACTGTCGGTAATTGACCGTTAATTAACAAAACACGTTTAGCATCTCCTGGCTTCTATGCATAGCCTACAAGCCACTGATGCAGACCTTTGGAACATCTACATTTAAAAAAGTATAATAAATCCATGTAATATAGCCTACACCATCACAATAAATCCATTATTTATTTTAGACTGGTCTAAAGAAACATGATATGAAGAAAAGTGTGTCTATTTCAGAAGAACAGAATAGCATACTCTGAATTGTCCTTATGTTAGGCCCTGATATGGCTATGCCATATGACTGTGGGCTACACTAGTTCATTTAGCAGACAAGATTTGCTTAGAATTCCATGGCATTATTTTTTATTCTTTTAAAGTATGAAGAATACAATTGAACATAGCTGAATAAAAGAAAGTATATCGCCTCCAAATGATTTCCAAGGAAGTGCGCACATTCTATTCTGTGTTGCGCGGTTAACAAAGAAACAGGTCCTCCTATATGCTTAATTTAGAGTTATTTATGCAACTGTAGCTGTGATACAAACGTTGGGCTATATGTTTTCATTTTTAATACATTCTAAGACTGCATGATGCAACTTTAATTATGATTTTAAAGAAGTCACATGAAAGGCATGATCGTTGATTTGTTTCTTGTGCAGGCTGCACACACATCAGTCTCTCATCCACAATTTGACAAGCACTTGATCATATTCTCACCATCCTCCTTGTGTGGCAGTAATGCCCCCTAAAAAATCCATGTATTTTGCGGCCAAAGTGGCCGTTGTGCCCTTGGGCTGAATATAACAATTATCATTCTGTTCTCCCGGCTGCTGTGCTCTGAAGCACCTCTCACTCACATGGCTCTCTCAGATCTCAATTCTTATTAGCCAATGCCCGTCACGTGATCGGGTCCTTCTCACAGGCATCTCAGCTAAGAAGTAGGCTACAAGTAAAGACAGACACATCGGGTACGCAACTGTGCTCTTATCGAATTCCGAGGAAGAAGATGTAAGAACTGTCCACATTTACTTTTCGTCAGCCAACAAGATGAGTAGGCCTAACGAACAGCAAAAGCACTAGCCTATGTCAATCTACTATCCCCCATAGTACAAAAGTTGGCCTATTCTACTGGTCAACTTGTCCTTCTGTGCAATAAATAAATCTTCCAAACATACTGTGGGACAGTTGTGGGATGCAATAGAGCCCAAATTAATACAACCAATCACATCAAAAAACATTTAAAAAGCAATGAGACTGATGCAACAGATCAGAACGTTTAGCTTAAAATGTTGATAAACTATTAGGCTATTTCTTCACATTATAAGCGCAACAATGCACACACAGCAGTAGGCTATTAGCACAAATGTCCCAAAATACAATCAATTAGCGGGAAAACACTGTTCTCAAAAGTGACCGCAAATGCAATTCTGCATGTTATGCCTTATTATAAAGGCGCATTTTTATGTTGAAAATGATCTTCCTCAAACTTGAAACTCACGCGCTGCCCATGAATGCCAGTTAGGCTCTACACCGTTTGTAAAGCGGATTAATGTGTTTAATTGTAAGAAATTATTTGGCCACTTCAATTATGATACAAAACGTATCAAAACATATAGACCTATGGGCTAGGCTACATGTGGTGTGCGACTATGATTTGAAAAAGTCGGCAAAAAAGGCATGTGCTGTTTCTTGCCTTACTGCACACGCTGGGCATCATTCACAAGTGATAGGCAAATGTTGTCACCCATCACCCATATTCTTAATTTAATGTTGTCTTTACATATACAAAAAATATATGTGTGACATTAGTTTTGATTTAGAATGGGACCATTATCATGCACCTGTTTATTTTTTATGTAATCTATGCACTTAAATAGCGAATGGAGGAGCTTTTCCCGTGGTTCACTCATGCCAGACAGGTAGGCTATGCTCCTGTTGTAAAGTGAAGCAATGTGCTTAATCTTAGGAAAGTTGATAAATAAATATAGTAGGCCTAGCCTATAGAAAGCTGATGGAGTCCTCTTCTTTTTAATAGAGGCCATCAATACTGTTTTCTCACGCAATCGCATAGCCTATAGGAATGTTGCGCAACGAGCTCATGGGCTCTCATGAAGTGTTTGACTTGATTTTCAAAAACATTTGCATTGATGTCAGGGTGATTAGAGGGACAATAGAGTGCTGAGTACCAGGCAGCTAGCAAGTTTGTCAGGCTACTAATATCCAGTAGCAACGCTTGGAGAAGCTTAGTTACCGTGACTAAATGGTCACGTGGAATTTGACTGCGGTCATGACTCGTGACTGCCGGTGTGGCGGTAATACGGCCATTGTAACAGACCTACCTACTACCATACCTGATTAGTCTCCCAGTCTCTGCAACTGAAAAACATCCCCACAGCATGATGCTGCCACCTCCATGCTTCACCGTAGGGATGGTGCCAGGTTTCCTCCAGACGTGACGGTTGGCATTCAGGCCAAAGAGTTCCATCTTGGTTTCATCAGACCAGAGAATCTTGGTTCTCATGGTCTGAGTCCTTTAGGTACCTTTTGGCAAACTCCAAGCGGGCTGTCATGTGCCTTTTACTGAGGAGAGGCTTGCATCTGGCCACTCTACCATAAAGGCCTGATTGGTGGAGTGCTGCAGAGATGGTTGTTCTTCTGGAAGGTTCTCCCATCTCCACAGAGGAACTCCCTGACCAAGGCCCTTCTCCCCCGATTGCTCAGTTTGGCCGGGCGGCCAGCTCTAGGAAGAGTTCCAACCTTCATCCATTTAAGAATGATTGAGGCCACTGTGTTCTTGGGGACCTTCAATGCTGCAGACATTTGTTGGTACCCTTCCCCAGATCTGTGCCTCGACACAATCCTGTCTCGGAGCTCTACGGACAATTCCTTCGACCTCATAGCTTGGTTTTTGCTCTGACATGCACTGCCAACTGTGGGACCTTATATAGACAGGTGTGTGCCTTTCCAAATCATGTCCAATCAATTGAATTTACTACAGGTGGACTCCAACCAAGTTGTAGAAACATCTCAAGGATGATCAATGGAAACAGGATGCACCGGAGCTCATTTCCGAGTCTCATAGCAAAGGGTCTGAATACTTATGTAAATAAGGTATCTGTTTTTTATTTTTAATACATTTGCTAAACTTTCTAAAAAAAGTTTGGCTTTGTCATTATGGGGTATTGTGTGTAGATTGCTGAGGAAAATATTTTACTTTATCCATTTTTAGAATAAGGCTGTAATGTAACAAAACGTGTAATTAAGTCAAGTGGTCTGAAAACTTTCCAAAGGCACTGTATATATTTGTATTTATTTATTATAAAAAAAACTGTAGCTTTTCTCCCCCTGCAATAAATAAGAAGCTAGTATGCAACGATGTAAGTACCTCTTACAATATTTTGCCGGACAACTATAGGACGAATCAATTAAAATCGGCCCTAGCAAACAAACCAATATAAATTAATTGATTCTGAGAAATTTCGGTTGAACTCATGCCTACCTGGTAGGTGACGTTGAAGCCCCTTGCCGCATTGATCTTGTCAGCATAGAAGTGAACGCGCAGCTGGCCCGAGGACGAGACCACGGCCACGGGGGCACGGGAGTCGAAGGCAGTGAGGACACGTAGTAGGCGGCGAGGGTTCTCCTCCAAGCCATCATACACCTTCACGTAGTCCCCGTAGCCCGTCCCGTCCAGCTTGAAGTCCATGAAACGCAGGATCACCTGGAATCAATCCATTAAAGAATGAATTATGTTTTATAAAATGTTAAATACATATAGTCTGCATCTGGTGAGCCCTTGTCAAAAATAGTTTACTATATACACACTACCGTTCAAAAGTTTGGGGTCACTTAGAAATGTCCTTGTTTTCGAAAGAAAAGCAATTTATTTGTCCATTAAAATAACATCAGTGTAGACATTGTTAATGTCGTAAATGGCTATTGTAGCTGGAACACAGCTGATTTTTAATGGAATATCTACATAGGCGTACAGAGGCCCATTATCAGCAACCATCAGTCCTGTGTTCCAATGGCACATTGTGTTTGCTAATCCACGTTTATCATTTTAAAAGGCGAATTGATCATTAGAAAACCCTTTTGCAATTATGTTAGCACAGCTGAAAACTGTTGTGCTGATTAAAGAAGCAATAAAATTGGCCTTCTTGAGACTAGTTGAGCATCTGGAGTGTCAGCAATTGTGGGTTTGATTACAGGCTCAAAATGTCCAAAAACAAAGAGCTTTCTTCTGAAACTCGTCAGTCTATTCTTATTCTGAGAAATGAAGGCAATTCCATGCAAGAAATTGCCAAGAAACTGAAGATCTCGTACAACGCTGTGTACTACTCCCTTCACAGAACAGCGCAAACTGGCTCTAACCAAAATAAAAAGAGGAGTGGGAGGCCCCGGTGCGCAACTGAGCAAGAGGACAAATACATTAGAGTGTCTAGTTTGAGAAACAGACACCTCACAGGTCCTCAACTGGCAGCTTAATTAAATAGTACCTGCAAAACACCAGTCTCAACGTCAACAGTGAAGAGGCGATTCCGGGATGCTGACCTTCTAGGCAGAGTCGCAAAGAAAAAGCCATATCTCAGACTGGCCAATAAAAAGAAAATATTCAGATGGGCAGTCTGAGATATGGCTTTTTCTTTGCAACTCTGCCTAGAAGGTCAGCATCCCGGAGTCGCCTCTTTACTGTTGACGTTGAGACTGGTGTTTTGCAGGTACTATATAATGAAACTGCCAGTTGAGGACCTGTGAGGCGTCTGTTTCTCAAACTAGACACTAATGTATTTGTCCTCTTGCTCAGTTGTGCACCGGGGCCTCCCACTCTTCTTTCTATTCTGGTTAGAGCCAGAACTTCTGCAAGAACTTCTGTTTCTGTGAGCTGCCAAAATGAAAAACCCTGACTACCATTTCCCAAGTCACGTGAGGTTGACTGATCATCCATTGAGGCTGTATGTGAGCAGAACAGTCACTGACTGGTCAAGACCAGTATGACCACCATTTCTTTCAAATAGGAAACCAGCTGAGATAACATGCTGATTAAAAGCATCAAACATTTACTTTTTCAGTAATGATGCAGGAGTCTAAAACTACTTGCTTAGGCAGGGAAGTAGAGGAATTACCCCGCTTCAGTGAATTAACAATTTTCCTGAATTTCTGTCAGAGTCTGTCACAGCGCTAAGGAAGTAGTTTGATTTGGCCTGTTTAAAACGAGGCAGTGCACCGATTTCTCAATTGCCTAAATATACTGAACACAAATATAAACGCAACATGTAAAGTGTTGGTCCTATGTTTCATGAGCTGAAATAAAAGATCCCAGAAATGTTCCATACGCATAAAAAGCTTATCTCTCAAATTGTGTGCAAAAATTAGTTTACATCCCTGTTAGTGAGCATTTCTCCTTTCAATCAATCAAATGTATAAATACCTTTTTACATCAGCAGATGTCACAAAGTGCTATACAGAAACCCAGCCTAAAACCCCCAAAAGCAAGCAATTCAGATGTAGAAGCACGGTGGCTAGGAAAAACTCCCTAGAAAGGCAGGAACCTAGGAAGAAACCTAGAGATGAACCAGGCTCTGAGGGGTGGCCAGTCCTCTTCTGGCTGTGCTGGGTGGAGATTATAAGAGCACATGGCGAATAAAGCCAGATTTGCCAAGATAATCCATCCACCTGACACGTGATTTGTATTTTTATTTATTATGGATCCCAAGGCAGCAGCTACTCTTCCTGGGGTCCAGCAAAATTAAGGCAGTTATACATTATAAAAACATTACAACACATTCATAACAGATTTCACAACATATTAAGTGTATGCCCTCAGACCTCTACTCTACTACCACATATCTATAACACAAAATCCATGTGTACATGTGTGTATAGTGCGTATGTTATTGTGTGTTTGTATGAATGTGTCTATGTTTGTGTTGCTTAACAGTCCCCGCTGTTCCATAAGGTGTATTTTTACCTGTTTTTTTTTATCTGATTCTACTGCTTGCATCAGTTACCTGATGTGGAATAGAGTTCCATGTAGTCATGGCTCTATGTAGTACTGTGCGCCTCCCATAATCTGTTCTGGACTTGGGGACTGTGAAGAGACCTCTGGTGGCATGTCTTGTGGGGTATGCATGGGTGTCTGAGCTGTGTGCCAGTATTCCAAACAGACAGCTCGGTACATTCAGTATGTCGACACCTTTTACAAAAACAAGCAGTGATGAAGTCGATCTCTCTTCCACTCTGAAACAGGAGAGATTGACATGCATGTCATTAATGTTAGCTCTCCATGTACTTTTAAGGGCCAGCCGTGCTGCCCTGTTCAGAGCCAACTGCAATTTTCCCAAGTCCCTCTTTGTGGCACCTGACCACACTACTGAACAGTAGTCTAGGTGCGACAAAACTAGGGCCTGTAGGACCTGCCTTGTTGATAGTGTTGTTAAGAAGGCAGAGCAGCGCTTAATTATGGACATACTTTTCCCCATCTTAGCTACTGTTGTATCAATATGTTTCGACCATGACAGTCTACAATCCAGGGCTACTCCAAGCAGTTTAGTCACCTCAACTTGCTCAATTTAAACATTATTCATTACGAGATGTAGTTGAGGTTTAGGGTTCGTTTAGTGAATGATTTGACCCAAATACAATGCTTTTAGTTTTGGAAATATTCAGGACTAACTTATTCCTTGCCACGCATTCCGAAACTAACTGCAACTCTTTGTTAAGTGTTGCAGTTATTTCAGTTGCTGTAGTAGCTGACGTGTATAGTCTTGAGTCATCCACATACATAGACACACTGGCTTTACTCAAAGCCAGTGGCATGTCATTAGTAAAGCTGGAAAAAAGCAAGGGGCCTAGACAGCTGCCCTGGGGAATTCCTGATTCTACCTGGATTATGTTTGAGAGGCTTCCATTATAGAATACCCTCTGTGTTCTGTTAGACAAGTAACTCTTTATCCACATTATAGCAAGGGGTGTAAAGCCATAACACATACATTTTTCCAGCAGCAGACTATGATCGATAATGTCGAAGGCCGCACTGAAGTCTAACAAAACAGCCCCTATAACATTTTAATCATCAATTTCTCTCAGCCAATCATCAGTAATTTGTGTAAGTGCTGTGCTTGTTGAATGTCCTTCTCTATAAGCATGCTGAAAGTTTGTCAATTTGTTTACAGGCACACCTGAACTTTGGGAGTTTCTCCCATTCTTCTCTGCAGAACCTCTCAAGCTCTGTCAGGTTAGATGCGGAGCGTCGCTGCACAGCTATTTTCAAGTCTCTCCAGAGATGTTCGATTGAGTTCAAGTCCGGGCTCTGGCTGGGCCACTCAAGGACATTCAGAGACTTGTCCCGAAGCCACTCCTGCATTGTCTTGGCTGTGTGCTTAGGGTTGTTGTCCTGTTGGAAGGTGAACCTTTGCGCCAGTCTGAGGTAGGTCATGAGTGCACTGGAGCAGGTTTTCATCAAGGATCTCTCTGTACTTTGCTCCGTTCATCTTTCCCTCGATCCTGACTAGTCCCCCAGTCCCTGCCGCTGAAAAACATCCCCACAACATGATGCTGCCACCCCCATGCTTCACCGTAGGGATGGTGCCAGGTTTCCAACAGACGTGACGCTTGGCATTCAGGCCAAATAGTTCAATCTTGGTTTCATCAGACCAGTCAATCTTGTTTCTCATGGCCTGAGAGTCTATAGGTGCCTTTTGGCAAACTCCAAGCGGGCTGTCATGTGCCATTTACTGAGGAGTGGCTTCCGTCTGGCCACTCAACCATTACGGCTAGATTGGTGGAGTGCTGCAGAGATGGTTGTCCTTCTAGAAGTTTCTCCCATCCCCACAGAGGAACTCTGGAGCTCTGTCAGATTGACCATCGGGTTCTTGGTCACCTCCCTGACCAAGGCCATTCTCCCCCGATTGCTCAGTTTGGCCGGGCGGCCAGCTCTAGGAAGTGTCTTGGTGGTTCCAAATTTATTCCATTTAAGAATGATGGAGGCCACTGTGTTCTTGGGGAGCTTGAATGATGCAGAAATGTTTTGGTACCCTTCCCCAGATCTGTGCCTCGACACAATCTTGTCTCGGAGATCTACGGACAATTCCTTCGATATCATGGCTTGTTTTTTTCTCTGACATACACTGTCAACTATCTGTGGGACCTTATATAAACAGGTGTGTGCCTTTCCAAATCATGTCCAATCAATTGAATTTACCACAGGTGGACTCTAAATCAAGTTGTAGAAACAGGATGCACTGGAGCTCAATTTCGAGTCTCATAGCAAAGGGTCTAAACACTTATGTAAATACGTTTTTTATTTTTTAAATACATTTGCTAAAATGTCTAAAAACCTGTTTTCGCTTTGTCATTATGGGGTATTGTGTGTAGATTGATGAATAATTGTTTTTATTTAATCAATTTTAGAATAAGGCTGTAACAAAATGTCAAAAAGGGAATACTTTCCTAATGCAATGTACATTAATCCTTGTCGTTTGTCATTATCCGACTGGCCAGTGTTGCCCAGAGCTCCACCATCTGATAGCGCTGTCGAAGGAGCACAGCATGAGGAGGCAATCAACGTTGGTCGCATGTCACGAGCCGGGGAAGCCGAAGACAGTGACCTCCCGCAAAGCAGTCTACACTCCCAACGAGAGGCCCGGAGCGGATACAAACAACGAATAGTTCCGCCATACTGGAGCCTGATCTTCCTGCACCTTT